AAAAAAAAAAAAAAAAGATGATGTGGACTGGACACGGTGGCTCATACCTGTAATGCCAGCACTTTGGGAGGCTGAGGTGGGTGGATTATGAGGTCTGGAGTTCAAGACCAGCCAAGCCAATATGGTGAAACTCTGTCTTTACTCAAAATACAAAAATTAGCGGGATGTAGTGGTGCACGCCTATAATCGCAGCTCCTTGGGATTCTGAGCCAGGAGAATGGCTTGAACCCAGGAGGCGGAGGTTGCAGTGAGCCGAGATCTTGCCGTTGCACTCTAGCCTGGGCAATAGAGTGAGACTCTGTCTCAAAAAACAAAGAAGAAAAGAGAAAAAAAGGGCTGGGCACAAGTGGGCTCACGTTGTAGATCCCAGCACTTTGAGGAGGCCCCAGGCGGGGATCCAGCTTTGTAGGCGCGAGAGGCTTGTGAGACCAACCTGGCCAATGTGTTGGTGCGAACACCTAAGCTGACTAAAATACAATAAATTAGCTGGGTGTGTGGCGGGGCTACTGTAATCCCAGCTACTTGGGGAGGCCTGAGGCTGAAGAATAGCTTGAACCACGGGAGCCAGAGGTTGCAGTGAGCCAGATCACTCCACTGCACACTCCAGCCTGGGCAACAGAACAAGACTGCATCTCAAAATGAATAAATAAGTAAGTAAATAAATAAAATTAAAAAATAAAAAGAGATGATGCTTCCATCAGTGGAGGAATGGATAAAACGTGGTATATCCATACAATGGAATATTATTCAGCCATGAAAAGGAATGAAGTGTCGATACCACTTATAACATGAATGGATCTGGAAAACACCATGCTGAGTGAAAGCAGTCAGACACAAAAGGTCACATATTTTATGAACACATTTCTATCAAGTGTCACTGGGAAACAGGTAAAATCCACAGAGGCAGAAAGCATGTCTGTGGTTGCAAGGCCCAGAGGGAGGGAAATTGGGAATGACTGCTCATAGGTAACAGGCGGTTTCCTCTGGGGTGCGATGAAACATTTCCCTAGAGTTAAGTGGCGATGGTTATACAGCCCTGTGAAATATCTTTAAAAGACTGAACTGTGTGGGATGTGAATTATGTCTCAAAAACAATACTTCAAAAAAGATGATGCTTGCATATGCCGCGCCTTGGGTAAGTATGCTGGTGGTGGTTTCGTGGTGATGATAAATGGTGAAATGATGACTGACATATGAAATATTGTTAATGGTGGTGATGATGTGGTGGTTGATGGTGATAGTGGTGATGAGGTGGTGATGAATGGTAGTTGTGATGGTGGATAGTGATGGAAGGTGATGGTGGAGATGGTAATGCGTTGTGTTGATGATGGGTGGTGGGATGGGAGGTGATGGTGGTGTGGTGGTGATGTGGGTGTGGTGATGGTGGTGAATTGGTGATGGGGTGATTGATGGTTAGTGGTGATGGTGTAGTTGACGGAAGGATGGTGGAGAGGTAATGGTGGGGTGGGTTGAATGATGTGGTAGTGATGGAGTGATGGTGAAGATGGTATGGTGGTGTTGGTGATGTGGTAGTGGATGGGAGGTGATGGTGAATGGCAATGGTGGTGGGGTTGGTGATGGTGGTAGTGATGGAGGTGATGGTGAGATGGTAATGGTGGTGTTGGTGATGGTGGTAGTGATGGAGGTGATAGTGGTGATGGTGATGGTGGTAGTGATGGTGGTAATGATGGAGGCGATAGTGATGGTGGTGATAGTGATGGTGGTGGTGATGATGGTGGTGATGGTGGTGAGGATAGTGATAGAGATGGTGATGGTGGTGATGATGGTGATGATGGTGATGATGGTGGTGAGGATGGTGATAGAGATGGTGGTGATGGTGATGATGGTGAGGATGGTGATAGAGATGGTGGTGATGGTGGTGGTGAGGATGGTGGTGATGGTGGTGATGATGGTGGCGATGGTGGTGAGGATGGTGATAGAGATGGTGGTGGCAATGATGGTGATGGTGGTGGTGGTGAGGATGGTGGTGATGGTGATGATGGTGGTGAGGATGATGGTGATGGTGGTGGTGATGGTGGTGAGGATGGTGATAGAGATGGTGGTGGTGATGATGATGGTGGTGGTGGTGAGGATGGTGGTGATGGTGGTGAGGATGGTGATGATGGTGATGGTGGTGGTGGTGAGGATGGTGGTGATGGTGGTGATGGTGGTGGTGGTCGTGATGATAGTGGTGATGATAGTTCAGGACTCTGTCCCCCTCTCCTAGGTCTGGTCCGAGAGCAGGAGGCTGGGCTGCTGCAGTTCCTCCGCCTGGACGGCTTCTCTGTGTTGATGCGGGCCATGCAGCAGCAGGTGCAGAAGCTCAAGGTCAAATCGGCATTTCTGCTGCAGAACCTGCTGGTGGGCCACCCCGAACACAAAGGTGTGGCAGCCCTTGAGTGAGGGCAGGAGTGGGGAGCAGACGCCCTGGGGTGGTGCAGGTGTGGGAGAAGGGGAGGAACAGGCATCCCGGGGAGGGCATAGGAGATGGGTGGGGCTGCCCCTCTGACCCCTGCAGCCCTCCCGCCAGGGACCCTGTGCTCCATGGGGATGGTCCAGCAGCTGGTGGCCCTGGTGCGGACAGAGCACAGCCCCTTCCACGAGCACGTGCTTGGAGCCCTGTGCAGGTACTTTGGCTCCTTGAGAGGATGGGGCCTGGGGTGGGTGTCCCATGGTGGGGGTGGCTCAGGAATCAGCCCGTAGGGACTCAGGAGTCAGGACCTTCCCTGTGGAGAGGAAGGGTGTGGGGCCAGAAAGAAGTAGGAGTCAGGGAGCCTCAGTTTCCTCACCAGTAGGGCTGGCACAGAGGCCTGGGGGAGGGAGAGAGGCTTTTGTACACGCCCCCACCAGTGAATTAGTGTCTAATCAGATGATGCTGGAGCTCTGAACAGCATACCAGAGTTGACACACATCAGGTCCTGTGCTGAGCCCCTCAGCACCACCCTGGGCCAGGGGCAGCATGAGGTCCGTTCTGCAGATGGGGAAACGGAGGCCCATTGTGGGGCAGCGACTTCTCTGGTCTCCTGAGTGAGCCAGGGGACGGGGCGGGCGATAGGGTGGGGTCAGTGAGGCCTCTAGAGGGAGGTCCTAAGGGTTGCTCTTATGTCCCTCACAGCCTGGTGACAGACTTCCCGCAGGGTGTGCGCGAGTGTCGGGAGCCAGAACTGGGCCTGGAGGAGCTTCTCCGCCACCGCTGTCAGCTGCTGCAGCAGCATGAGGAGTACCAGGTATATAGGGAGGGGACGGGGTGCAAGGAGGACCAGGTGTGAGGGGCAGGGGACAGGGGCTCCAGGAGGACCAGGTACATGGGGAGGGGACGGGGTGCAAGGAGGACCAGGTGTGAGGGGCAGGGGACAGGGGCTCCAGGAGGACCAGGTACATGGGGAGGGGACGGGGTGCAAGGAGGACCAGGTGTGAGGGGCAGGGGACAGGGGCTCCAGGAGGACCAGGTGTGTGGGGAGGGGATGGGGTTCAAAGAGGATCATGTGCCAGGGGAGGGGACAGCAGCTCCAGAAGGGCCGGGTGAGCTGGGGAAGGGACAGGGTGTGAGGAGGATCAGGTGTGAGGGGGAGGGGCCTGGGGGTGAGGAATTCCCCAGGTTAGAGCAAGTGTGGTAGTAGGGACCCTAGTGGGGGCAGAGCCAGCCAGTCCTTGCCCTTGGGGGCTCTTGGGTCCGCTGGTTCAGGCTTTCATTTGCGTTCTCGTGCGTTTCACTCATCCTGCATTCAGCAGACATTTATTTCATGCCTAGCTTTCGTCCCGTGCTGTGTCAGAGTAGGAGAGACAGCAAGGAGACAGGAGCTCTGAGACTGTTAAAGGGTTGACCAAGTCACTGAATTATTATCTAAATTACCTAATACAGTTGTTTACATTAAATAAATGTAAATTGAATGTAATATCACTCAAATGTCTTAATGATTAACTATTTCCTTAAATTGACTAGATATAATTGCCATTTCTAATCAGATGATGCTGGAGCTCTGAACAGCACACCAGAGTTGACACATATCAGGCCCTGTGCTGAGCCCCTCAGCACCCACCCTGGGCCAGGGGCAGCGTGAGGTCCGTTCCGCAGAGGGGAAACGGAGGCCCATTGTGGGGCAGTGACTTGCCCGGGCTCCTGAGTGAGCCAGGGGATGGGGCGGGCGATAGGGTGGGGTCAGTGAGGCCTCTAGAGGGAGGTCCTAAGGGCTGCTTTTAGGGTGACAAGATATAATTGCCATTATAATGGCAAATAATAAACAGTTATTTTAGGTAAATAACAAGTGACAAATAACAAGTCATCAGATATTTAATTAAATAGATAAGGGGCAAATAACTCATTTGATAACTGGATAAGTAACAAATGCTAAATCACAACTAATTAAAATTCAGATACTTAATTGATTAAGTAATGTATTAATTTGTTGAAGCGAATGAATCAATGCTGGTGCTTCAGCAAAGCCGAGCTTAGCAAACGCACCCACCTCCTTGGGACATTCTATTCTATTGAGTTCATTCCTGTGTAGACACTGTGAAGTGTCTGTACATATTGAGAGTGTACTACATGGCCGGGCATGGTGGCTCACGCCTGTAATCCCAGCACTTTGGGAGGCTGAGGTGGGCGAATCATGAGGTCAGGAGATCGAGACCAGCCTGGCCAACATGGTAAAACCCCATCTCTACTAAAAATACAAAAAATTAGCTGGGCGTAGTGGCAGGCGCCTGTAGTCCCAGCTACTCAGGAGGCTGAGGCAGGAGAATCGCTTGAACCCGGGAGGCAGAGGTTCCAGTGAGCCAAGATTGTGCCATTGCACTCCAGCCTCGACGATAGAGCGAGACTCCGTCTCAAAAAAAAAAAAAAATAGTGTACTACATAAGAAGTTTTGACTTATGTATACACCCGTGGAAACATTGAAATTAGATTTATAATAGATTTTACTAATGCTTTCTGAGTGGGTTCCGTAGTCACATGGTTGAAAATACAAGACCCACAGGAGGGTAAACAGTGAAAAGTCTCTTTCCTGCCCCTCCCTCTAGCTACCCAGTTGCTCAGGTGTCCTTCCTAAGATATTAGGTGCACACGAACAAAGGTGCATACGAATTCTCCTTTTTCTCTGTTATCTAAAATAAGCCCACCACGCTGTGATGGCCGTTCTGCCCCTTGCTCTGCGGGCATTGCATGTCTCGCTTGCGGCTCTTTTATTTTGCAGCTGTACAATGCGGATGGCCTCTTTTTTGTAGTGTGGTTATGCAGGTTGTTTCTACACTCTCACTGTGACAAACACTGCTAAAAGAATAACCTTTTGTATATGTTATTTCATATGTCTGTAGAACAATTTCTACGAGGGAAATGGCTGGGGTCAGGTATGTTAAAGGGTTAAGGGCCATTTCATTAGCTATCACGAAGCTCCTCTCCACAGAAGTTCAACCATTGACACTCCAGTCATAAGGGTGCCCAGCTCCCCAAATCTTGGTCAGGATAAAGTGGCCTCGATGAACCATTTGACCTTTTTTCAAGCCGACTGTTGAAAAGTAGTACTCCAGTCCAGTTTACATTTCTCCCATGGGTGAAATTTGGCATCTTTTCTCTTTCTTGTGAACTGTTTGTTCTCATCCTTTGCCCACTTATCTATTTATTGGGTGATGGTTTTTGCGAATGATTTTTTTAAACTCTTTAAGTGTTAAGTATATTAGCCATTTGTGCTATGAATCACAAATATTTTTCCCCAACCTTGTTTTCTTTCTTTTTTTTTTTTTTTTTTGCCCTGTGAGTATCTTTTATATTACGTAGTTTAACCTGTCAATGCTTTCTTTCATGGTTTCTGGGGTTTGTATCTGTAGAAAGTTTTGGTCAATATCTGGGAGTTAGAAAGAGCCCAAGAGTGCTGATATGAGGCAGACCAATGGAGTGAGACGAGTCTGGGGGACCTCGGGTTCTAGTTCAAGTAGTTCAGACACCAGTGTGAAGACAGTGAATCATGGATCTGAGCAGTGATTAGAGAACCCTAACCTCTGGTGGCGGGGGGTGGGTGGTGGCCAGGAGAGAAGAGGAGTCACCTCTGGGTGCCAAGAATGTTGGAGGCAGGGTCTGGCCTCTGCACTCAGGCCGCTTGCTCCCTGCCCCTGCCCAATCCAGGAGGAGCTGGAGTTCTGCGAAAAGCTGCTACAGACCTGTTTCTCCAGCCCGACGGACGACAGCATGGATCGGTGAAACCGGGTGGCTTCTTGCCCCTTTCTCCGTGGGAACCCCAGGCCTCTTGCCTCCCTCCCCACCTACAAGGCCCTCTCCCAAGGGATCGCACGGCCTAGGTGCCTGGACCCAGGGCGTGCTAGCCCGTCTCTGTGCAGTCCCTGGAAGGGCCGCTGAGAAAGGCACCAGCTCCTTGGATCCCACCTCCCATGCTCTCACTCTCATCCCCGTTCTCTTGTCCACACAGCTCTTCCAATAAAGGTGTTTCTCTTCCTTCTCCTCCTCCTTCACTGCCGCCTTTGTCACCTCCTTTGGAGGGTGCATGGGGGACGGGAGGAGGGGCACGAGTTTAAGGGACTTGGGGAGCCACTGGAGGAATAATAAAAGTGTTGCTGTTATCATCTACAGAGCCATTGTGTCATTTAATCTTCCCTGCCTTTCCTGAGCAAGAGTGCGTGGGACATCTGTCCTTTTTCGGCCACCTGGCAAACCTGAATTCTAGGTTTGAGGAATTTCCCAGGTTAGACATTTAAATCTTCCCTAGGGTAGCCGCCATTTCCCCTCCCAGCATCCTTTGCTGTAGGGTAGTCATGTGACATTAGCTCCACAAATCAGAACTCTCCCTGGGAATATGTTTCGTACACCAATCAGAATCCACTGGTGGTCTAGCTCCTCTACCAATCAGAGCCCGGTCTTCAGGCCAAGAGCTGGCGGCGGAGATGCTCACGCCCAGGTTCCGTTCTGGCTAGCGCAGGAGCAGACACACCTGGCTTCTGGAGGGGGCTGGCACAGATTCTGGCGGGAGTATCTGAGCCAGGTGCGGGTGATGGAGGCTGCACTGTGTCTCAGGAGCAGGCCTGTGGCTGGGTGTGGGCTTCATTCCTGACTGCAAAGCGCCAAGCGGATTCTGTAGCTTTCTCAAATGTGGGATTGGGGTGGGAGGTGGGGGTGTCGAGGGCTGCCTCAACTCCTTTAATAAATTGCTTTTCTGTTTAGCTACAAGAAATTTTGTCATTTGCAGACAAGAGCTTTGACTGCTGTCGTTTTTCAAGAGAGGAGGCTGAGCTCAGAGGAGGCTGAGCCCTGACCAAGTTCACAGCCAGGATTCACACCTGGGCCAATTCCAGAGCCATCCTCCTTTTTTTTTTTTTTTTTTGATCAACGGACAGTAGCAGATGGAGGCCACTGAGACTTGAAATATGCAACACAGTTGGCTTCATTGATGTGTACCCTGCTTTTATTATGAGATGGTGCATGAAAAGATGGGGAGCAGAACCAGTCTTACAACCTTCATACCTGCAGCTCCGAACTGTGCACATGACAA